TGTTCTATTACTCTTTCCCCTGCCTGGCATTTTTATTATACTTTTAGTTTTAAACACTGACTTTATTTAATGGTCTGCAGCCACCACAAAAACATCTTATGCTTTTAGTGGTCCATCTTGTCAGTGTATCTGCCTCACTAAATTATAGAATTATCTGACTCATCAGGACAACATATTATCCTCTAGACAGCAAATTGAAAAAAAGCAATTTTCCCGTCTCTGAGAAAGATAAGTGATTTGATTTTGCTGTCAATATTATCATCATTCACTCTATCACCCAGACTTGAAACCCTGAAATTATTTTTTACTCTCACCACCTTTCATCACCCACACAGAGTCACTGAGTTGCAGTGAGTTTCCTTTAATAATGTCTCTTGCATCCATCTCCTCTGCTATCACCTAAGTTCAAATCCCTATTATCTCACAGGCTTGGATAACCATGATATTCTCTTTTCCCTTAATGACTTGTATGGAGTTTCTTTATTATAAAAAGTAATGCATGCTCATTACAGGCAATTTGGAAATTTCAGAAACATAGAGGGAGAGACAAAATAATATCAATTATCCACAATCTTACTGCCCAGAGATGATTATTTTGACCTATTTCCTTCCACTCATTGTTCTATGTATATATTGATGAATTTTTATAAAAATTAGGATTGTAATACACTACACATTTATGGTACGTTTTTATACTTATGTCATAAGTATTTTGTTAGGACACTAAATGCTTTGAAAACCTAATTTGTTAAAAAATTTATTCTTGATTGTTGATGTCTCCTTGACTTCTAATTTTTTGTGTTAGAAACAAATTCTGCATTGGCCATCCTTATGTCATTGTTGGATTATTTTCCTAAAATAAATTCCTAAAGAAATAATTATAAGATCAAAGATGATTCTGGTTACATTTTACTGAGTTGCCCTCTGGAAAGAAGGGCATTTTACAGGCCCACCAGAGGTGTGTGAAGAGTGACAGTCCCCCACCCATTTGTTAACACTGGATATTATCACTTTTTAAAAATTTAATAAGCTAGAAATTCATATATCTTTGGTTATATGTCTCGTATATATCAGTGAGTCCAAACACGTTTTCACAGACATTGGGCATTTGTGTCATGGCACTTTGTCTTCATTCTGCTAAGACTGGTAGCAAACTCAAATGCCTTTCAGGGGCATTTCAATTTCACACATTTCAATGTGTGAAACCACAGTGGGAATGGTAGGGCCTGAGATGAATTGGTAGTCCATGCCCTGCTTAAGATCCCAAATTGAAAAATGTTAAATACACCACACTGGCCAACCAAAACATCTGTGGGACAAATTCAGGACTAGATTATCAGTTTGCTACTGTCTAGCACTTCCTGTCTCTAATTCATTCCCTTCAGGTTGTTGTCAGAATGATAGGTGTGGAGACAAGGGAACCCTCTTACACCACTATAATGTGGTGTATTGTATTACACTGAATGTAAATTGGTACTGCCACTATGGAGAACAGTATGGAGATTCCTTAAGAAGTTAAAAATAGAGCTACTATATGATCCAGCAATCCCACTGCTGGGCATATATCTGGAGAAAACCATGGTCCAAAAGGATATATGCACCCCAGTGTTCACTGCAGCACTGTTTACAGTAGCCAAGACATGGGAGCAACCTAAATGTCCATCGACAGGGGAATGGATAAAGGAGATGTGGTATATTTATACAATGGAGTACTACTTGGCCATTAAAAAGAATCCCATTTGCAACATAGACGGACCTAGAGATTGTCTGGGAGTAAGTCAGACAAAGACAAATATTGTATATATTGCTTATATGCGGAATCTAAAAAAAAAAAACAATACAAATGAACTTATTTATAGAACAGAAATAGACCACAAACTTACAGAATAGATTTATGGCTACCAGGGGCAGGGAGGGTGGGGGAGAGGGATAGATTGGGGTTTGGGATTGACGTGTACACACTCCTATTGATATATTTAAAATGGATAACCAACAAGGACCTACCATATAGCACAGGGAACTCTGCTCAATATTATCTAACAACCTAAATGGGAAAAGAATTTGAAAAAGAATAGATACATGTATATGTATAACTGAATCACTGTGCCGTACACCTGAAACTAACACAACATTGTAATCAACTCTACTCCAATTTTAACTATTAAGTTGGCCAAAAAGTTCATTAGGGTTTTCCATCCCATCTTACAGAAAAACCTGAACAAACTTTTTGGCCAGGTCAGTCAGTCAGTTCAGTCGCTCAGTCATGTCTGACTCTTTGCGACCCCATGGACTGCAGCATGCCAGGTTTGCCTCTCCATCACCAACTCCCAGAGCTTGCTCAAACTCATGTCCATCGAGTCAGTGATCCCATCCAACCATCTCATACTCTGTCATCCCCTTCTCCTGTCTTCAATCTTTCCCAGCATCAGCATCATTGGCCACGCTAATGAAAAGTTAAAAAAACAAAGAATGATATTCCTACTACCTTCTCATAGAGACCAACCAAAATGTGACTCCAAATCTATTTCTGGGAACTCCTCTATCCCAACCCAGTATTTCTACCACACAGAACTCTAAGGAGACTGTGAGGCTCTTGAAGACAAACATCCTGTCTTACAAAAGGCCCTGCAGCATGGTGGAAAGAAAGAACTCTAGAATCAGACAGTTCTTGCTCAAATCCCACCTTATTATTTCCTTGCTGTGTGACTGCAGTAAAGTTATCTAACCTCACTGAGGCTCCAATTCCTCATCTGCAAAATGCTACTAAGAGCACCGACACCACAGAGTGGGTGTGAAGATGGAGCACTGAATACACTGTGTACACATGGGTGACTGCCAGTCACTGGTTACAGGTGTTGTTAGAATAGTTGCACAATTCTTAGCCTCCAGCATTTATCACAGTAGCTGGCAAAATGAAGACAGAGGGGTAATCCTAAGGAAAATGTCTGTAACAGTGATTTTCAAAGTGTGGTCTGTGAATGATCTTGCCAGGAGAGGTATCATTGTTGGGCCCCTGTTAAGTATGCAGTTTCCCAGGAACCATCCCAGACCCAGTGAGTTCGAACTTCTCGAGGCAGGGCCCAGGATTCTATATTCTTACAAGCATTCCAGTCAACTGTGACTCAAAGGCAAAGAACCACTGATTGCCACAACCACCTCGGTCACAATATATGAGCCCTTCATCAGGCACCTGGCTTCTGGATCTCCCTGCCTAGTGGTGCCCTATATAGCAGAGTTACCCACTGTCTATGACCCTGATTTGGTGAAAAAGATCCAGATGACTTCTCCTCTGACAGCATGCGAGCCTCTGTGCCTTCCTTCCCTAGCCACGTAGCATCACTGCCACTGTGAACCACCCGTTATTACAAGAACTGTTTGGGCATTAAAGAGAAATGGAAAGTATTATCAATAGTAATACTAAGCAGTAACATTTGTTGTGGTTGTTTAGTTGTTAACTAAAGAGTTAATAAAAGAATCATGTCTGACTCTTGCGACCCCATGAACTGTAGCCTGCCAGGCTCCTCTGTCCATGGGATTTTCCTGGCAAGAATATTGGAGAGGCTTGCCATGCCCTCCTCCAGGGGATCTTCCCAACCCAGGGATTGAAGCCAGGTCTCCTGCATTGCAGGCAGATTCTTTTACCACTGAGTCACCTGGGAAGCCCCAAGCACTAATATTTACTAAGCACCTATAAAGTAACTGCCAGGCACACTAAGGAATTTCTATGTATTAATTTAATCCACATAACAACATTATGCATGCTAAGTTGCTTCAGTCATGTCCAACTCTTTGCAGCTCCATGGACTGTAACCTGACAGGCTCCTCTGTCCATGGAATTCTCCAGGCAAGAATACTGGAGTGGATAGCCATGTCCTCCTCCAGGGGATCTTTCCAACCCAGGGATCGAACCCACATCTCTTATGTCTCCTGCACTGGCAGGCAGGTTCTTTACCGCTAGTGCCACGTATTATTACCTTCACTTTATAAGTGAGAAAACTGAGACACAGGGAGGTTAAGGAAGTTACCAAAGGTCAAATAGATGGTACATGACAGAGCAGAGATCCAAATCCAGACAATCTGACTCCAGAGCACAGGCTATTATCTACTATGCTCTACTATTTCCCCGAATTAAGTGTCTTATGCCTGAAATGATTACTTTAAGATATATACAATAATATTGATATTTATTTTATTTAGTGTCTTTATTATCTTATTTGGGTGAATATAGTTATCAGAGAAACCACAAACTCTGTTGTTCCCACAAGGTCTTAGCTTTCCCAGCCACAAATTCCAGCAGGAATGTCTGTAGCCACATAACTCTTAACAGTTCGGGGGGTGAGAGGTTGCTCTAGTTCCATGTCTTCTGAGGCCAGCCTTCCAGGCAATAGCATGAATAAAATCTATTTCAACTGTTTGCATGCATGTGTACTCAGTAGCTCAGTCATGTGTGACTCTTTGCAACCACAAGGACTGTAGCTCACCAGGCCCCTCTGTCCATGGGATTCTCCAGGCAAGAATAATGGAGTGGGTTGCCATTTCCTCCTCCAGGGGATTGTCCTGACCTAGGGATCAAACTTGCATCTCCTGTGTCTCCTGCATTGCAGGCAGATTCTTTATCACGGAGCCACAAGGGAAGCCCTTTGACTGCTTATCTTATGTTTGTATTTCCCCAAATGAAATTTGAAAGATTATCCAAGAGTCAGAAGACCTACCTATTGGTTTAGTTTCTTAAAGGAGGCTCCTCTCCCTGCATGTTTGGATCAAATACATTCTCTTCCCCAGAGAGAGAATGAAGCCCAGCGATACGAGCTGGATGAAGTATTCTGGGGATTTCTTAAATGGTATGTTTGGCCTGAGATACAACATTTTAAATCAGATCTTTAATCTTTTAGACAAAATATACTTTAAAATAACCAATTTTGAAATGAAATTCTGACCCATGCTACAACATGGATGAATCTTGAAAACGTTATGCTAAGGGAAAGAAGTCAGACACAAAAGGCCAAATATTGTAGGATTCCATTTATATGAGGTACCTAGACTAGGCAACTTCATAAAGATAGAAAGCAGAACAGAGGTTACCAGGGGTTGAGGGGAATGGAGAGTTATTGTTTAATGGGTACAGTTTCTGTTTAGGATGATGATAACACTCTGGAAATAGTGAGGATGGTTGAGGATGGTTCAACAACATTGTAAATGTACTTAATGTCATTGACCTGTATACTTAAAACTGGTTAAAGTGGTAAAATTTATGTTATATATGTTTTACCAAAAAAAATTTTTAATCCCATAGCCTCCCCTCAAAAAATCAATTTTACACCCCACTGAGTCAGAACTTACCAGGGTATCATCATTCTGGTCTCCAAACATTTCTTTAAAAATCTTGCCAGGATCAGGAATTGGAGGGAATATAATGATCTTGAGCCTTTAAGAAAACAGGGACATTTCTGATCAAATCTTCCAGTCCAAAGAAATGTTCCTCTTAAATACAGCCATAGTAAAAGAGGGCTTAGACAAAAGACATGGTACACAAGTCATCTTTAGTGATAATGCAGTTGTGAAGAAATTTCTAAAGCAGGCTGAGAAATCAATGTCTCAAGAATATCAAGTGTGGGTAAAGCAAAGGACCCATCAGTAGCAGACTCCTTATAATCTATCATTTAAATTTTTTTTCTAGCTTTATTGAGGTATACTTGACACACAAAAATTGTATAAATTTGAGGTGTGCAAAGTGAGTTTTATGTAGGTGTACATTGTGAAAAGATCATCATAATCAAGGTAATTAACATATCCATCACCTCACATACTTATAATTGTGTGTGGGGGTCTGTGTGTGTGTTATACCCTATCATTTAAATGGTGTTTTACTTTATCACAGATCAGATGGGAGCCTGTTATTTATAATTTAAAAAAAAATTCTTCTGAGAACAGGGGACATTCCTCTTTAATTTTTCTTTTCTTTTTCTAATTTATCTTCTCTCTATTTTAATTTTTTTTTCAATTTTTCTAATTGAAGTGTAATTGAGTTACAATGTTGTGTTAATTAGTTCTGTACAGCAAAGTGACTTATACACATAAATGTATATTCTTTTCCACTATGGTTTACCACAGGATACTGAATATAGTTCCCTGTACTATTATAATAGGACCTTATTATTTGTCCATTCTATACATAATTGTTTGCATCTGCTAATCCCAAATTCCCAATCCATCCCTTCCCCACACCCCTCCCCCTTGCAACCATCAGTCTATTCTCTATGTCTATGATTCTGTTTCTGTTTCACAAACAAGTTCATTTGTGTCACAGTTTAGATTCCACATATAAGTGATATCATATGACATTTGTCTTTCTCTTTCTGACTTACTTAGTATGATAATCTCCCATTGCATCAATGTTACTGCAAATGGCATTATTTCATTGTTTAATAGCTGAATAATATTCCACTGTATAAATATACTACATCTTATTTATCCATTCCTCTGTCAATGGACATTTAGGTTGTCTCCATGTCTTGGCTATTGTAAATAGTGCTGTTATGAACATAGCAGTGCATGTATCTTTTTGAATTACCATTTTGTCTGAATTCTGTTTTTGCATCTGATAGTATTACACTGGCCCAAAAGTTCATTCAGGTTTTTCTGTAAGATGGTGTGGAAAAACCTGAACGGCCTTTTTGGCCAATCCAACAGTACCCTCTGGTAGACCTACCTCATCTCCTAGGTCTCTAAATATTGATGTGTCCTAGAGTTCAGTGTTTTGTCCTCTTTATCTCCCTCACTTTATAAGCACTCTCTTCTGGTCTTAAGGGCTTTAAATCTATTTATATGCTGAGGACTCCCAAATTTCTAACTCTGGTCCAAACCTCTTCTTTAAACTCCAGATTCATGTATACAGGTAATGATTCAGCATCTCTATCTGGATATTTAATAGGCATCTCAAACTTACCATGTTCAAAACTGAAGTCCTCACCTTTTCCCTAAAGCCAGATCTCCTCCCAATCTTTCCCATCTCAGTAAAACGCTGCAATATTCACTCAGTTGCTGAAGCCAAGAATCTAAGAGTTATCCCTTGAATCCTCAATTACTCTTACACCTCCAAAAACAAGCAGCCATCAGCAAGTGCTATTATTAATTTCATCTTCAAAATACATCCCACATCAGAATATTTCTTACTACCTTCATTGCAAACCTCCTGGCCTACACTACTCTCATCTTTCCACCCAAACACTACAATGTTTCTTAACTGGTCTACCTGCTTTTACTCTTGCCAAGTCAAGTCTTCACTCAGCAATACAATGATCCTTTATGACAGTCAATCCAATCACATCCCTCTCCTGCTTAAAACTCTCTAATATTTTCCCATCACGCTTAGGATAACAACTCAATTCCATGCCACAGCCTACATGATCTGGTCTTGCCAGCCTCTCCTGCCTCATATCCTCTTGTTCTCCCGCCTTGTATGCTCTCCTCTAACAAGACACACTAAGCTGATTCTAGCCTCAGGACCTTTGCACTTGCTGTTCTTTTGGCCTAGAATGTTCTTTCTTTGAATATCTGACTGGCTCACTCCTTTAAGTCTGTCTTCAAATGTCACTTTCTCAGAGAGGCCTTCCCTGGCATTCCATGTAAGATTAGCCTCATATCACTTCCTAGCCTTTCTCCCCAGCCCAACTCCATAACTTTACTACTCACTATGTGAACTCATAGGTAGGGACTTTGTCCTGTTCAGCACCACAACTCTAGCAATTATAACAGTGCCTGGCACATAATGCCGACAAAGGTCCATCTAATCAAAGCTATGGTTTTTCCAGTAGTCATGTATGAATGTGAGAGTTGGACTATAAAGAAAGCTGAGCACCGAAGAATTCATGCTTTTGAACTGTGCTGCTGGAGAAGACTCTTGAGAGTCCCTTGGACTGCAAGGAGATCAAACCAGTCTATCCTAAAGGAAATCAGTCCTGAATATTCATTGGAAGGACTGATGCTGAAGCTGAAACTCTAATAATTTGGCCACCTGATGTGAAGAACTAACCCATTGGAAAAGACCCCGATGTTGGGAAAGATTGAAGGCAGGAGGAGAAGGGGATGACAGAGGATGAGTTGGTTGGATGGTATCACCAACTCAATGGACATGAGTTTAAGCAAGCTCTGGGAGTTGGTGATGGACAGGGAAGCCTGGCAAGCTGCAGTCCATGGGGTCGCAAGGAGTCGGACATGACTGAGCAACTGAACTGAACTGAGCTGGCACATAAATGGGCACTCAACACATGCATGTTTAAAGAATACTGAAATAATGATAAAATATTGATTCTAGAACCAGCTTAGTAAACTTATTCCAACTTTAGGTATTTTCCTGAAAGAGCAAATAATAGCACCAGACTAGTCCCTATGATGAAATCAAGAAAGTAAAAAATTCTCCAAGAATGAGTATCATGTCTTAGAACTTGAAGTACTTTATCCTGTAGTGTTAAGTAGCAACCCATTTTGCCTTCACATTAGATAAGTCATTTAATTGCTAATGATCTCCATTTCTAAAACTTATGAACTAGCAACTAACGGTTGACAAATTAGGTATTTTAGAGAGTTGAGTGAACATAAGTCTTATCAACATTCTAAAAATGTACAAACAGAGCACTGCCTGAGCAGCACCTTGGAAGACCAAGACTTTCCTCACCAGAAAGCGGGCACAGTAATACTTACCACGCCATCCTACCAAAAACCAGGTATAGCCAAAATGCTGCCAACACACTGGGCAGACATCAAACACACCCACAAAGAATAATAACCATAGCAGCCAGGCTAGCAGAAAGTGTCAGGCCTGCCTGAGCAGCTGCCTTACCTTTTCAGATACAGCAGAAGGACAATGACTGCGGCTGCAACGATGACTGGAATGATGAGTAATGTGGTTATGTAAAATGTCAGATTGGCCTTCTTACCTGGAAAATGGAAAGCAAACAGAAAGACATGAGAAATAAACCTTTTGAGAAATAAACTAAGCAATCTTGTTATATTAGACTAATGAGATTACAGCTATTTCTGCCCTCTACACCAACATATTCCCCTAAATTCTTCAATTATCTTGTCTTTTGTTAATAGTGGGGTTGGGGGGAAGTCCTGCTCTGGTGCCTAAAATTCCGTGGATAAATAAGCACTTTAAGGATTATCTGAAACCAGGATATCTTAATTGGTTTTAGACACTATTAACAAAGAAGTTATATTTTTAAAATATGTCATCTCATTAACACTATCTTGTTTTATTGGTTGCTTAGCATTATTGTTGTCATTGCTTTAGTCGCTAAGTCGTGTCTAACTCTTCTGCGACCCCATGGACTGCAGCCCACCAGGCTCCTCTGTCCCAAGGAATTCTCCAGGCAAGAACACTGGACTGGATTGCCATTTCTTCCTCCAGGGGATCTTCCCAATCCAGGGATCAAACTCATATCTCCTGTACTGGCAGGCGAATTCTTTACTGCTGAGCCACCAGGGAAGTTCTAGAGACAGATAATATTATTTCCCATTTATACAGATGAGAAGTATAAGGCTGAGAAAGGTTTAATGGCTTGTCCAGAGGGTTTAATAAGTAATGGAGTCAAGCCTAAAACCCAGCACTGTCCAATTCCAAAGCCTTTCATTAACTGCCTTGCTACACCTAACACTTAGAATGACATATGTCTATTTATATGCTCATCTTTTCCATGAGGGCATGAACATCTGGAAAACATCATGAGGGCCTAAGCATTGTGTTAGGCAGCCTCTAAGATGACTCTAAATGACCCTTGGAATGTCCCTCTGAGACGAGGTTATAAAGGGCTGCGGTTCTCATATTGGGTGTTCTCTAATATGCTCTTTCTTGCTTGGACCACTCACTTGGGGAAGCCAGCTGCCATGTTATGAGGTAGCCCTGTGGGGAGGTTCAGGTGGCAAGGGACTGAGAGACCTCCATATTAGTTTCCTAGAGCTGCTGTAAAAAATCACCATACACTGGTTGACTCAAAACAATAGAAATATATTCTCTCATAGCTCTGGTGGCCAGAAGGCCAAAATCCTAGCTCCTGGTGGCTTTCAAGAATCCTTAGCATTCCTTGGCTTGTAGCTGCACCACTCCAATCTCTGCCTTCATCTTCACATGGCCTTCTCTGTTTCCGTATATTCTCTCTTCTTTTGATAAGGATACTAGTCATTGGAGGGCTTCCCTGGTGGCTCAGAGGTTAAAGCAACTGCCTGCAGTGTGGGAGACCTGGGTTTGATCCCTGGGTCGGGAAGATCCCCTGGAGAAGGAAATGGCTGCCCACTCCAGTATTCTTGCCTGGGAAATCCCATGAACGGAGGAGCCTGGTGGGATACAGTCCACAGGGTCGTAAAGAGTCAGACACAACTGATCGATCTCACTTTCACTTTTCACTCAGCCCTTAAGGGCTTCCCTGGTGGCTCAGATAGTGAAGAATCTGCCTGCAAGGCAGGAGACCTGGGTTTGATCCCTGGGTGGGGAAGATCCTCTGAAGACGGGAATGACAATTCACTCCAGTATTCTTGCATGGAGAATTCCATGAACTGAGAAGACCTGCCTGGAGAATTCCATGAACTGAGAAGACTGGCGGGCTACAGTCCATGGGGTCACAAAGAGTCAGACACAACTGAGTGACTAACACTTTCACTTTTCACTCTTCACTCAGCCCTTATGGCCTCTTCTTAACTTGATTATATCTGTAAAAATTCTATTTCCAAATAAGGTCATGTTCATAGGTACAAGGAATGGCAACTTGAATGACAACCTCCTTTTGGAGGTACAAAATGAAACCTCCTAAAGCCTCCATCCAGCAGCCAGTGTGAAAATGAGGATTTCCAATGACCATATAAGTGATCTTGAAAGTGGATTCTCCAGCCCCAGTCAAGCCTTCAGATGGAACCACAGTCCCAGTCAACAGCTTGACTGGAACCTTATGAGAGAACTTGAGCCACAGGTACCTAGCAAAGTTGTGCCCAGATTCCTGAGCCATGGAAATTGTGAGATAGTGAATATCTGTTTTTAAGACATAATTTCTTATGCAATAATATAATGTAGCCTGGCATATAGCTTGTTCAATCTCTCAATTAAAAGGGTTGATTACTTCAATAGCCTGTTTCTCTTATTGTTAGGTAGCTGTTAGGAAGTTCTTAAGTTGGTCCTGTTTTGCCCCATAGAGCCACAAAAAAAAAGACAGCCTATTCTCTCTTCTACTTGACACTACCTCAAATATTAGAATTCAGCAATCGTGACTCCCTAGGCTTACTTCATTAAATGTGCCTCCCAAAATTTTAACATTCTTCAACATCCTGATTATGCTTTCAAGGAAAAATTCCAGTCTCCTAATGCATCTCTTACAATGTGGTGCCCAGGATGGTATGCTGCACACTTCTGATGTAGCCAGGACATTGTGCCACACGCTGCAGCATTCCCTTATTCTGGGTGCTGTACTATCACTGCTGCCCATGACTATATATGTCTTTGGGGGACATTTAAGGATCTGATGTTGAGTCACTTTGAGCTTACCATCTAATAAAACCCTAGCTCCCACCCCACAATACACGTATCCATAAGGCACATGTCTTTCCACTCCTATACTTGATTCTAGCACATAGCTTGTACAGTCTCTCAATTAATAAGTGAGGCTGATTTTTTTTCAAACCTGAAAGTGTGAAAGTCACTCAGTCACGTCCAATTCTTTGTGACCTCAAGGACTATACAGTCCATGGAATTCTGTAGGCCAGAATACTAGAGTGGGTAGCCTTTCCCTTTTCCAGGGGATCTTCCCAACCCAGAGATTAAACCCAGGTCTCCCACATTGCAGGCAGATTCTTTACCAGCTGAGCCATAAGGGAGGCCCAAGAATACTGGGGTGGGTAGCCTATCCCTTCTCCAGGGGATCTTCCTGAACCCAGGAATCAAACCAGGGTCTCCTGCATTGTAGGTGGATTCTTTACCAACTGAGCTATCAGGGAAGCCCAGATACAGGTTTATTTCTATAAAATGTCATCAAGGTCATTGTTGTACTCTTGATTCTGTTACCAGCACATAGGATAGTCCTCTAGCACTGCACAATCTGCAGATTTAATCATGCCTGCCTTCTGTAGTTTTGTTTAGGCTGTTCACAAAGATGGAAACAGGACAGAAGAGAGAATAACATCATTTGGATGGCAAATTTTCAATGAGCTGCATAATGTAAATTAACTCTGAGTGATTTGATAATAATTAAACAGAAAGTACATTTCAATTGTAAGTGTTCTCTGGCTGATGTCAAGAATGAAGAACAGTCCTTTCCCATAATGTTTTCTGCCTCAATTTAGTTTCCATGCATCAATGGTTTAAATTTTAATGAAAAATCCCATTCTCTTACCTATACTCATCGCTTGGCTCCAATTACTCCAGAGTTTGTCATCTTCATAGCATAACTTATTTGTTTTGACTCTTATTCTGACTGTGTTCAAAGCATCAGAACGAATACCGGGAATCATGAAACAAATTGTACCCTTAGATACAAGATAAAAACACAAGGAATATTACCAGTTTATTCTCTTTCTCTGCTTCTGAATCCTAAATATAATTATCTGCCAAGTTCTATATATGACGAAGATTTTGTATTGCAATGCAAATTATCTGACTTTAACTCTTGTAAAAGAAAATTAGCAATAATCCACAGAACAAAGTAGTTTGTTTTCCTCAAAGCAGTTCAAATTTAGGATATGCTTACCCTGCCTCATCACCAATTACCATATGAGTTTAAGTCCAAATAGCTCAAGTTGAATTTACTGACCTCTAGGTTTCCTTTAAATTCTGTATTCTGACATTTGGCCTCTTCAACCTCGAAAATATAAAAAAATACATAAATTCAAAAGAAATTAAAGACCACATTTTATATCATTTAACCATTTTAACAAGTTTTCTTTTATACCATTAACAGAAGACCAGGTATAGTGGGAAAAAGGGAGGTTTTTTAAAAAATAAATGGTGCTAGGATTGTCATACTGAGTGAAGTAAGTCAGACAGGGAAAGGAAATATCATAGGATACCCCTTTTGTGTGGAATCCAAAAAGAAATGAGGGGATAAAAAAATAAAAAAAAAGAAATGAGGGGATATATGTACACTTATACCTGATTCACGTTTTTGTATGGCAGAAACCAACACAACATTGTAAAGTAATAATCTTTCGATTAAAAATAAAAATTAAAAAAAGAAATGATACAAATGAATTTATTTATGAAACAGACTCACAGACTTAGAGGATGAACTTATGGTTAGCAGGGGGAAGGGTTGGGGGAAGGGACAGTTAGGAAGTTTGGGATGTACGAGTATACAGTGTTACACTTAAAAAGGATAACCAACAAGGAAGGACCTACTGCACAGCACAGGGAACTCTGCTCAATGTTATGTGGCAGCCTGCATGGGAGGGGAGTTTGGGGCAGAATGGATACATGTGTATGTATGGCTGAGTCACTCTGCTGTGCACCTAAAACTATCACAACATTGATAATTGGCTATACCCCAATAAAGGGCTTCTCAAGTGGCACTAGTGGGATTAGAAGTCCAGATAATAATTGCTCTTTGAGAAAGTAGTGACCAAAAGAGGTTATGATTGAGTTTATGGGGAGCTGATTTTGTAACTGACAAATCATTTGTGAAGAATCACTGAGCTGTCCATAATGACTTCTGCAATTTTTCTATAGTATACTACATAGCAATACATAGTTTAAAAATATTATGCTCCCTTGTTGAGAATATGTGCTCAGATGCTCAGTCATGTCTGACTCTTTGCAACCCCATGGGATGTAGCCAACCAGGCTCCTCTGTCCATGGGATTCTCCAGAAAAAAATACTGGAGTGTGTTGTCATTTCTTTCTCCAGGGGATCTTCCTGACCCAGGAGTCGAAACTGCATCTCCTGCATTGGGAGGCAGATTCTTTACCACTAGCACTACCTGGGAAGCTCAATAATATATCAAAAAATGACTGAGTTAGGACTTGCCTGGTGGTTCAGTGGTAAAGAATCCACCTGTCATGCAGGAGACACAGGTTCAATCCCTGGTGCAAGAAGATCCCACATGCTGGGGTGCAACTAAGCCCATGAGCCACAACTATTGGGTCTGTGCTCTAGAGCCCAGGAACTGCAACTACTGAGCCTATGTGCCACAACTATTGAAGCCCTTGTGCCCTAACGCCCATGCTCCGCAACAAGAGAAGCCACAGTAATGAGAAGCCTGCACACCACAAGAAAGAGTAGCCCCTGTTTGCTGCAACTAGAGGAAAGCCCATGCAGCAACAAAGACCCAGCACAGCCAAAAGTTAAACAAAATTATTGTTTTTAAATGACTGAGTTAGAGAAAAGAAAAGAAAATGCAAATTTCTCCTCTACACAATTTAAGTCACTTGTTGTATGATGTAAAGAGAATAATCAATTCCTAAAATGCAGATATTTCAAAATCAACACATGAAAGTCTCTTGCTTCATTTCAATAGTCTACTTTTGGCAACAGGTCCATGAAAAGACGTTCAACATCACTAATATACACTATTATACACTAATATACACTAGTGTATAAAATATACACTAATCATTAGCAAAATATACATCAAAATCACAATCATCTTACACTGCCAATAACAGAATGGCTGTCGTCAAAAAGATAAGAGATAACAAGTGCTGGAGAGGGTGTAGAGAAAAGGAAACCCTCATGCACCGTTGATGGGAATATAAACCAGCGCAGTCACTTTGGAACAGTATGGAGGTTTCTAAAAAAATTAAAAATAGAACTATCATATGATCTAGCAACCCCAAGGAAATCCTGCCATTTGTGACAACATGGAAGAAACTTCAGGGCACTATGCTAAGTGAAATAAGTTAGAGAAAGACAAATACTACATGATCTCACTTGTATGTGGAATTCAAATAAGTCAAATTTACTGAGTCGCAGGGCAGCATGGTAATTGCCAGAGGCTGGCGAGTGGGGAAATGGAAAGATGTTGGTCAGGGGTACAAATTTTCAGTTAAGAATTCTGGGGATTTAATGGGGCTTTTCTGATAGTTCAGTTGGTAAGGAATCTCCCTGCAATGCAGGAGATCCTAGTTTGATTCCTGGGTTGGGAAGATCCACTGGAGAAGGAATAGGCTACCCACTTCAGTATACTTGGGCTTTCGTTGTGGCTCAGCTGGTGAAGAATCCACCTTCAGTGCAGGAGACCTGGGTTCAATCCCTGGGTTGGGAAGATCCCCTGGGAAAGGGAAAGGCTACCCACTCTAGTATTCTGACCTGGAGAATTCCATGGACTATATAGTCCATGGGGTTGCAAAGAGCTGGACATGAGTGAGTGACTTTCACATGATGATTACAGTTAATAATACTGTAGTGCATACCTGAAATTCGCTGAGAGATCTTGTTTTCGCACCACAAAAAAAGCTAAGTCTGTGAGGTGATGAATGTGTTAATTTGATTGTGATAATCATCTCATAATGTATATGATTATTATAACCTTATATACCTTAAAATAATATTGTACAACCTAAATACATATAATTTCTACTTGCCAATCATACCTCAGTACAGATGGAAAAAATAGTCAACTTCTATCAGAGATGTTTAAATATGGGACAAAGACCAGAATACATGCTATGATTTTGGGCATTCAATGTCATTCACTGAATGATTCCTACCAGCATTTGTGAAGAGTGAAAGGCCAACTGAATGATGATGAGCCATCCTATCAATACTTCATATAAGGTCAGAGAAAAAGCTACTCAGGGGTTACTGTACCCCAGTGTTGGCTATATGGAGTCAGAGGCCTGCTGGGGAATCACAAATGGCAACTACCCCTTGAGGGACCAGGCTGCAGGCTGATGTACCCCCCTCCCCTGGACCATCTCCCTGATGTATATATTCCAAAGTCAGCAAATTATTGTGTAAATTGATGGTTCTGGGCTCGTGTTCAAATGTAAATCTCCTTGTGTAGTTTATCAGCTGCTCAGATACTTCCGTGAGAAAAGGGAAACAAGGACGCAGATCACCAAGTGTAGAGCTGGCGGGGATGGGCATGCCCAAAGACAAGTCACTTCATGCTTTATGATTCTGTCATAAGCAACCCTGACCCAGAGCCATGGATGGCATCAGTTCATGCTCCAGCCTACTTCCCCCTCTTAACTAGAACACCAGGCCAAATAGCTCCTCAAAAAGTCTTGCAAGAAGAACCAAGAAAGGGTCTAACCAGCTGAGCTCAAAATCAGTGAGCACACAAAAAGCTGATGACAATCCAGGGGATGGAGCAGCTGGTGAACATCTGCTAAGAGAGAGAACATTAAACTCAAGTGTATAAACAGAGTTAATTCCAAATTGACTACAGTTCTGGTTTTGACGGATAAATTCCACAGTATATGTGCTCTCTTCAGTTCAGAAGTTTTTTTTTAATGGCTCGGACCTGGTGCACTGGGAAGACCCAGAGGGATCGGGTGGAGAGGGAGGTGGGAGGAGGGACTGGGATGGGGAATACATGTAAATCCACGCTAATTCATTTCAATGGATGACAAAAACTACTGTAATGATGTAAAGTAATTAGCCTCCAACTAATAAAAATAAATGGAAAAAAAATAAAATTAAATTTAAAAAAAAGTTTTTTTTTAAAGGTAACAATTCAATAAGAATTTATTAAGTGACAACTGTACACATGGTCTTATACCCAGAGTTCTTGGTTAAAATGCAATACATGGAGACCAACCTCTGAAGTCATACTTAATAAGCTGTGTGGCCTGTAGCAAGTTACTTAACCTCTCTGAGCCTTAGTTTCTCACTAAAACATAGGTTAAAAAGGAACCGATTTCATGGATTGCTATGAGCAACTATATAAGAAGTACATAGAAGACTGTATTTGTAATACATCATGAGCAATAAGTGATGGCTATTACTAGCAAGAGGAAGTATTGAGGTAGTCCCCAGGGGTTTAAGAATAAAAGCTTTGGAGTTAGACTTTTGCTGAAATCTTGGACTCTATCCCTTACTAGAAATGTGACCTTAGGAATAACCTTTGAGACTGAAGTTTTCTCATCTGTAACAGGCCTAGATCCTTGGGGTCATTGTGAGGACTAAATGAGACAACTCAGATAAAGTACTTATTAAAATAGCTGCTATTGTTGCTGCTGCTGCTGCTGCTGCTAAGTCACTTCAGTCATGTCAGACTCTGTGCGACCCCACAGACGGCAGCCCACCAGGCTCCTCCATCCCTGGGATTCTCCAGGCAAGAATACTGGAGTGGGTTGCCATTTCTTTCTCCAATGCATGCATGCATGCTAAGTCGCTTCAGTCATGTTCGACTCTGTGCAACCCTATGGACAGCAGCCCACCAGGCTCCTCTGTCCACAAGATTCTCTAGGCAAGAATACTGGAGTGGGTTGCCATTTCCTTCTCCAATTAAAATAGCTAATACACAGCAATTGCTTAATACATATTAGTTGGTATTAGTAGCCAGAACAGTACAAAGTAAATACCACCTAATTCCTCCCCGTTACAGGAGTTTATATTTTTAGTCAAGATCATGGGTAACTAGCAGGACATCATTTAGTGCCAAGTGAGTAATACAAGTGGCATGTGTCTCTGGATTTCAGACAGAAGAGAGCAGTCAAGGCTGGAATAGTCAAGCATATTCGGCTTTCTGATAACTCACTTAGTTGTAAATTCAAGCCTCACCCCCTCCCCGCTTGGAAGCCCTTTGCTTTTTCCTTTTGTGGCATTATTTGGGGACCCTGATTTCTGGGATGAAGAATGATTATTCTGCTTCAGCAAACGCTTTTATTTGCAAATGCCCAGAAGAGCTCTGCTCAGCTGGGGACATGGTCGCTCCCTCCAGAGTTACAGCCTGTCAACAGCGGCTTATTTTAGTAAATAAAATACTTTAGTTTTCGAAATTCCCATGATGAGCTAAAACAAGTGAACCAAGGGATCTTCCCACATGTGAGCTGCAGGACTCCTGTAAAAGCCCATGGTTTCTAATCTCTCAAACTCAAATGGACACAGGGCCCAGGCAGGTAACACAAGTGAGTGGCACAGTCCCTGTGGTCCTAAGGCACCACCTTATAGCAATTACACCCTCAGGTACCACAGTTTTCAATCTGGGCAGAAAATTCAAATGTAATATACAAGCAAACAAAACCCCACTTTGTTTTGTGGTCCAAACAAAAATGTCTGAGGCCTGAGTTTGAGATCTCTGTTCTAAAGCATAACAATGCAACTGGGCCCTGAGGTTATGCCACACCCTGTTAGGCCCAGTGCTCCAATGCATGCGTGTATGCTCAGTCGCTCAGTGGAGTCCAACTCCTTGTGACCCCATGGACTGCCAGGCTCCTCTGTCCATGGAATTTCCTGGAGTGGGTTGCCAAGATTACTGGAGTGGGTTGCCATTTCCTACTCCACAGGGACCTCTTATCAGCATGTTTTATATTAGATTCCAAAGAGCATAAATGTACATGATCCAAAAAATACTAACTACTCAGTATTGACTACTCTAGTTGCTACAAGCTCCAAAAAAAACTGAACGACCATACAGGAGCCTCTAAGTAGCTACATAATCTGATCACGGCTCTAGGCTCAGACACCTCTTCCTACTATGTTTTGGTCATGCCAGTCTCCTATTTCTCACACATGCCAAGCTCATTCCTGCCTGAGTCTTTGACCATGCTGTCCCCTCCACCTCCAGATCATCAAATGACTAGCTCCTGCTCATAGTTCCAGTCTCATCTCAAATCTCATCACTGTGGATACCTACCCTACCTAATATTCCCTCAGGCCTTGCCATCACCCCACTTAAATTTCTGCATAGCATTCATTCTCTAAAATTAGTTTGCTCATTTATGCACTTATTTTCTAGTAGGTAAGCTTCATGGGCAAAAATTTTTTTTATCAGGTGTCACATGAACATAAAATAGTGCCTGGTAGTACATGATAGACATGTAATAAAAAACTTTTCAGCAAATGAATTAATGAATGACTGAATTCTTGTAAGCATACTACCATAAACTGTCAAACCTTCCACCACACGCTATTTCAGAGAAACCATCATCATCAGGTGACAAATCTATGAGCTACTTTTCATTGATATTTCAATTTATTACACTGTAAGAAATGCAAGAAAAAATTCTAAATAACAACTATCTAAAAAAAAACTTACATAGAAAATATCATGTGTCTCAGCGTGGCTGTTATTGACTTCTACTTCATAAGACAAGCATTTGCTTTGAAAATTCTGTGGATTTTTCCACTGCACGTATAAGTCACCATTTTGGAAGGAGAGATTTTTAATATGTGGAGGATCAGGTTTCACTGAAAAACAGAAACAGAACAATACAAATTAATTTTCAGAGTTAATTTTGATGAGATACACATATGGGCTTCCCAAATAGCTCAGCTGGTCAAGAATCCACCTGCAATGCCGGACAGCCCGGTTCGATTTCTGGGTTGGGAAGTTCCCCTGGAGAAGCAATAGGCTACCCACTCCAGTATTCTTGGGCTTCCCTGTGGCACAGATGGTAAAGAATCCACCTGCAATGTGGGAGACCTGGGTTCGATCTCTGGGTTGAGAAAACCTCCTAGAGGAGGGCATGGCAACGCACTATAGTATTCTTGCCTGGGGAATCCCTATGGACAGAGGAGCCTGGCAGACTACAGTCCATGGGGTCGCACAGAATTGGACAGGACTGAGCGACTAAACACAACACAGCACTTATGTGTAGAGACAATGAAGGTCACAAAGGTAAATCAAAACAGGTCTGATGCTTTTAATGGCCTTACATGATCAGACATACAGTTCTAGAATTTCTGATTAATCACAATTAATGTAGGAAGCTTTTTTTTCCTTTGTTTCTTTTTCGTGTTTTTGGCCACACCCCACAGTATGCAGGATCTTATTTCCCCGATCAAGGATTGAACCTGGGTCCCCTGCAATGGAAGCTCAGAGTCCTGATCACTGGACCAGAAGGGAAGTCCCCTATAGGAAGCTTAAACTGCCTAGTAAAACAGATCTAAGGAACATCTTTGGGGCTGGCAGATGACGCAGATTCTGACCTGCATCTGGTTAGGGCATGGCTGGGGTATAATCCAGACATTTAGCTACAACAAGAGGGTGGGGTAAAGAAGTGCTTGGGTCCAGATGTGACTCTTCCTGATGGTACTGAGGGGCATCAGGTACAAGGGGTTCCCCCAGCCAGCACTCATTTATGCCAATCAAAGACCACAATGAAAACATCAGCACAGTTTTGTCATAGATTACAACAGGGATGAAGGGCTTCTCATGTGGTGCAGTAGTAAAGAACCCACCTGCCAATGCAGGAGACATAGGAGATGTGGGTTCGATCCCTGGACTGGGAAGATCCCCTGGAGGAGGGCATGGCAACCCACTCAAGTATTCTTGCCTAGAAAATCCCGTGGACAGAGGAGCTTGGCGGGCTATAGCCCATAGGGTCGCAAAGAGTCGGACATGACTGAGCGACTAAACAACAGAGATGAACTTTGAGGACATGATGCTAATGAAATAAGTCCATTACAAAAGGACCAATACTGTATGATTCCACTTATAAGAGGTATCTAAAGGAGTCAAAGTCATAGAAACAGAAAGTAGGAAGGTGGTTACCAGGGGCTGGGGGAAGGGGGAGGGGTGGGGGAAGGAGAATTAGTATTTCATGGGCATGAAGTTTCAGTTTTACAAAATGAGAGAGTTCTAGAGATCTACTGCACAACACTGTGAATATATTTAACACTACTGAACTGTACACTTGAAAATGGTTAAGATGGCATATTTAATGTTATATAATTATAATCATGATTTAAAAGAAATTAAAAAAGAAATTGGCCTAGTCAATTCAGTTTTTCAGGAGTCAACTATGCTTAAGACCAAGCAACAAAAGAGAGTGGATAATTAACAGAAAACAACTTCACAACATCCCCTTCTAGCTAACAAGAATCTCCCACTCATCTCTTACATCACCACTCATCTCTAGGTAGAAGAGCAGCAAAATGAGCTTTAAAAGGTCCATCAAGGACAAGCTTCCAAGCAAAGGGGAGGAGAAAGAAGGGTTTTGCTTCAAATGATCCCATTTGGCAAGTTGCCTCAACCTCACTCCCCTGGCTTACAAACTAAGCTGCCTTGGGTGCACTATTAGAATTCACTTCCATAACTGTCTGAAAGGGCAGTAAATAGTGTTCTGCTCACAGACTTGGGAACCTTTGTCAATTCATGATTATTTTCTTGTAAATTTTCTGTGTACCACTTTAGCTAGAATCGGAGCTCCCTGTTGGGATACTACAGCAAATAAATAAATATAATGTGGCTTCCCTGGTGACTCAGGCAGTAAAGAATCTGCCTGCAATGTGGGAGACCTGGGTTCGATCCCTGGGTTGGGAAGATCCCCTGGAGGAGGGCACAGCAACCTACTCCAGTATTCTTGCCTGGAGAATCCCATGGACAGAGGAGCCTGGTGGGCTACAGTCCATAGGGTCGAAAAGAGTCAGACATGACTGAGTGACTAAGAACATACAACTCTGCTTTAGAGATTTACAAAATGCTTTTATACATGTCACATCATTCAGACCTTACAACAATCCTCTGAGTTCAAGAGGGACTGTGTATCCCCTTTTATAAATGAAGAGGAAATTAGAGTGTATATGCCATATCCCAAGTGACGAAGCTAAGACCTTAAGCGGGTACTTTGTTTTCAAGTTGAGGGCTCTTAGTAATGGACTGAAACTCGGCTGCACTGGTTGTTCTCATTGATCTGTGCCTGGGTTATTCAGAATGTTAGATAGTTTGAATATCACTCCTGATCACTCCATCTCTAGTCTAAGCTTTTTGTTGTTGTTAAACAGAGACAGGTTATTTAGGAACTATATTAAATCACATTTATTCTGCAGCAGCATCCTCTGGAGTGTAAGTAAAAGAGAATAGATCTTAAGAGTCAGAGAGGGACGTCCCTGGTGGTCCAGTGGCTAAGACTCTGTGCTCTCAATGCAGGGGGCCTGGGTTTGATCCCTGGTCGGGGAACTAGATCCCATATGCTGTAACTAAAGATCCTGTCTGCCACAATGAACATCAAAGATTCCACATGCCTCGACAAAGACCCAGTGAAGTCAAATAAATAACTAAACATTTAAAATTGTTTAAAAAAAATGTCAGAGAGCCTGAGTCCCAATCTCAGTTCTACAACTAACTGCTTGCTCTAAGGCTCAGCATATGCATAAGTAAACATGGATAAAGCATGTGGCACATGTGCACAATAAATATGAGAATTTACAAGCTTGCTACTTTTAACAAGGAACAAAGAAAAAGATACATGAATATAGTCCCTTTTTTCTGGGAAGATCTTCAAACCAAAATCATCATTTTTTATCATTCGTATTGATGACATAATACTTTGATCCACACTGTCGTGAAGTACTTCTAAAACTTACCATGAGAAGTTAAAGGCACTATATTGTAGGATGGTCTGATTTTTCCTGCGTTGTCTTTAACCATTACTTGGACGCTGTGCTGTTCAAAACTGGAATCCTTCACTTTAGTCAGATCAAAGGAACAAGCAATGTGCTGGCCTTCTCTGTAGATGTTTTCACACTGAAGAGTTTTTCCTAGGCTTCTGTGCCTACAAGATAAAACGAGATAACCTTCTGCATTATTTTTTAACTACATATGCAAGAAACAAATACAGATGTCTGTTTGTTTTCAAATGATTAAAGATGTCCATGAAAAGCCATATTTGCAATCTGGCAGGGTAGCTTTTTTTTAAAGCCCTATTTTATAATACGGCTCCATTTCACATTTGAGGAAAAAATGAATGTCCCTTTTTCATGAATATGGTATTTTCAATAGCTACGGAAACCACAGGAGTCCTGACTCTTTTTCCTCTTCTGTATGGGAAATGGTACAAGGCCAGGATGAGAAATTTTATGCTTCCTGAAAATGCCTTATCTGCTCAATTCCAAGTTTCCCTAGTCCCTCTGTCTGCTCCTTCCTTGTTCTCTTGGCTTGTTCCTTTCCTTTCTTCTATCCTCAGAGAATTCACATCCAGTCTTCAGCCCTCTGTGTGTTCCTCTCTATTTCTTACTCCCTCATCCACTCGCCCATTTATCACTTCCACTCCTCAACTAGAATTTCTTCACTGAGGATTCCTAATCCTGACCTACTGCCTTGGAGCCAGTCCCAGATTTCTAACTGCTCCACTTTAGAGTTCCATTCTTGCCTCAAATTCAACAGCCAAGACAGATGCCCCCTCTTCCTGGACAAACTGCCTTTTCTTCCAACCATCCCAATTGCCATCATCCAGAGCTCATTTTCTCTGGGCTCCTTGATTAGATTAGAGCCTCTGAAATCACCCCTCCTCCCTTTTTTATATCTTATCACCAAATTCAGTTACTTCTTTCTTTGCAAACCCTCTGGGATTCTCTATGATATTCCCCTCACCCTATTTCATGCCCTAATCACTTGAGGCTTCATGTCTTCTCCAGATTGAGCTCTCTGACATTATTAGTGTCCTTTAACCACAATCCTTACCTATCAGAGGTCAGACAGAATGAAAACCACAATCACAGAAAACTAAGCAAACTGATCACATGGATCACAGTCTTGTCTAACTCAATGAAACTATGAGCCATGCTGTGTAGGGCCACCCAAGACGGATGGATCATGGTGGAGAGTTCTGACAAAATGCGGTCCACTGGAGAAGGGAATTTGACTTTGGAGGCCAGTGGGATTTGCATACAGAACTTCCACAGGTCTGGGGAAACAGACTCTTCGAGGGCATAAACAAAACCTTGTGCACACCATGACCCAGAAGAAAGGAGCAGTGTCCCCACAAGAGACTAAGCCAGACTTGCCTGTGAGTGTCCAGGACTCTCTAGCAGAGGCATGGGTCGACAGTGGCCTGCTGCCACCCAAGACGGACAGGTCATGGTGGACAGTTCTTACAAAACATCCTCCACTGAAGAAGTAAATGGCAAACCACTTCAGTATTCTTGCCTTGAGAACCACATGAACAGTATGAAAAGGCAAAAAGATATGACACTGAAAGATGAATTTCCCAGGTCGGTAGATGCCCAATATGGAGAAGAGTAGAGAAATAGCTTCAGAAAGAATGAAGAGACAGAGCCAAAACGAAAACAAACCCCAGTTGTGGATGCGACAGGTGAAGGAAGTAAAGTCTGATGCTGTAAAGAACAACATTGCATAGGAACCTGGAATGTTAGATCCATGAATCAAGGTAAATTGGAAGTAGTCAAACAATAAGAGAGAATATCAACATACTAGGAATGAGTGAACTAAAATGGACCCAAACGGGCAAATTTAATTCAGATCACCATTATATCTACTATTGTGGGCAAGAATTCCTTAGAAGAAATGGAGTAGCCCTCACAGTCAACAAAAGATTGTGAAATGCAATACTTGGATGCAATCCCAGAAAAGCAAAATGATTTCTGTTCATTTCCAAGGCAAACCACTCAATATCACAGTAATCCAAGTCTATACCCCAACCACTAATGACAAAGAAGCTGATGTTGAACAGTTCTATGATGACCTACAAGACCTAGAACTAACACCCAAAAAAGATGTCCTTTTCATCATAGCAGACTGGAATGCAAAAGTAGGAAGACAAGAGATACTGGAAATAACAGGTAAGTTTGGCCTTTGACTACAAAATGAAGCAAGGCAAAGGTTAACAGAGTTTTTCCAAGAGAACCCACTGGTCATAGCAAACACTGTCTTCCAACAACACAAGAGATGACTCTGCACATGGACATCACCTTATGGTCACTACCAAAATCAGACTGATTATATTCTTTGCAGTCAAAGATGGAGAAGCTCTATACAGTCAGTAAAAACAAGACCAGGAGCTGACTGTGGCTCAGATCATGAACTCCTTATTGCAAAATTCAGACTTAAATTGAAGAAAGTAGGCAAAACCACTAGACCATTCAGGAATGAGCTAAATCAAATTGCTTACGATTATACAGCAGAAGTGACAAATAGATTCAAGGAATTAGATCTGATAGAGTGCCGGAAGAACTATGGACGGAGGTTTGTGACATTGTACAGGAGGCAGTGATCAAGATCATTCTGAAGAAAAGGAAAGGCAAAATGATTGTCTGAGGAGGCCTTACAAGCTGAGAAAAGAAGAGAAGCTAAAGGCAAAGGTAAAGAGGAAAGATATACCCAACTGAACGCAGAGTTCCAAATAATAGCAAGAAGAGATAAAAAAGCCGTCTTCAGTGATCAATACAAAGAAATAGAGGAAAACAATAGAATGGGGAAGACTAGAGATCTCTTCAAGAAAATAAGAGATACCAAGGGAACATTTCATGTAAAGATGGTCAAAATAAAGGACAAAAATTATGTGGACCTAACAGAAGCAGAAGATATTAAGAAGAGGTGGCAAGAATACACAGAAGAACTATACAAAAATGATCTTCATGACCCATATAACCACAATGGTGTGATCACTCACCCAGAGCCAGAAACCCTAAAATGTGAAGTCAAGTGGGCCTTAGTAAGCACCACTATGAACAAAGCTAGTGGAGGTGGTGGAATTCCAGTTGAGTTATTTCAAATCCTAAAAGATGATGCTATGAAAGTGCTACACTCAATATGCCAGCAAATTTGGAAAACTCAGCAGTGGCCACAGGACTGGAAAAGGTCAGTGTTCATTCCAATTCCAAAGAAAGGCAATGCCAAAGAATGCTTAAACTACTGCACAATTGCACTCATTTCACACACTATCAAAGTAATGCTCAAAATTATTCAAGCCAGGCTTCAACAGAACGTGAACCAAGAACTTCCAGATGTTCAAGCTGGATTTAGAAAAGGCAGAGGAACCAGAGATCAAATTGCAAACATCCCTTGGATCATCGAAAAAGCAAGAGAGCTCCAGAAAAATCTACTTCTGCTTTACTGACTATGCCAAAGCCTTTGATTTGTGTGGATCACAACAAACTCTGGAAAATTCTTAAAGAGATGGGAATACCAGACCACCTGACCTGCCTCCTGAGAAATCTGTATGCATGTCAAGAAGCAACAGTTAGAACCAGACATGGAACAATGGACTGGTTCCAAATTGGGAAAGGAACACCTCAAGGCTGTATATTGTCACCCTGCTTATTTAACTTATATGCAGAGTACATCATGGGAAATGGTGGGCTAGATGAAGCATAAGCTGGGGTCAAGATTGCCGGGAGAAATAGCAATAACTTCAGATATGCAGATGACACCATCGTTATGGCAGAAAGTAAAGAGGAACTAAAGAGCCTCTTGATGAAAGAGAAAGAGGAGACTGAAAAAGCTAGCTTAAAACTCAACATTCAAAAAACAAAGACCATGGCATCTGGTCCCATCACTTCATGGCAAATAGATGGGGAAACAGTGGAGACAGTGAGAAACTTCTTTGCTTGGGCTCCAAAATCACTGCAGATGGTGACTTCAGCCATGCAATTAAAAGACGCTTGCTCCTTGGAAGAAAAGCTATGACCAACCTATATAGCATATTAAAAAGCAGAGATATTACTTTGCCAACAAAGGTCCATCTAGTTAAAGCTACAGTTTTTCCAGTACTCATGTATGGATGTGAGAGTTGGACCCTAACGAAAGCTGAGCATGGAAGAATTGAAGCTTCTGAACTGTGGTGTTGGAAAAGACTCTTGAGAGTCCCTTGGACTGCAGGGAGATCAAACCAGTCCATCCTAAAGGAAACCAATCATGAATATTCATTGGAAGGACTGATGCTGATGCTGAAGCTTAAGCTCCAATACTTTGGCCACCTGAAGCGAAGAACTGATTCATTGGAAAAGACCCTGATGCTGGGAAAGATTGAAGGCAGGAGGAGAAGAGGATGACAGAGGATGAAATGGTTGGATGGCATCACCGACTTGATGGACATGAGTTTGAGCAAACTCTGGGAGATGGTGAAGGACAGGGAAGCCTGACGTGCTAGATTCCATGGGGTTACATAGAGCCGGACACGACTGAGCAGCTGAACTGACCTGAACTGAACCACTGCCAGATCAATGTTCCATAGCACGAGGTCGTTCTAAGTGTCTTACTCTACTGTGTGGCTCTAAATTCTGATATCTTCTTTCTCATTTCCAAAAACCTCTACATAGACCTTTCCCCAATGGTCATCCAGCACAGTACAGGCAGACAGAATGTGCTCATTATACTTTTTGTTTAGGTTATCAAAGGATTCTGTTTTATAGTAACTAGCAGAAGACACAGAGTTAAGCCTTACATCATCAGTCACAAGGGAGATGTACAAATGTTCTGCAGAAAAGGAAGACAATTTAGAAAATGAACTAAGAGGAAAGAGTCCCAAACCCTTGATTTGTTTACTTTAGAATCATCTGTGGTCATTTGAAAAATGCAGGTCCCTCCACCCCTCTCCCAGAGAATCCTACTTAGAAGGTTTGCCCAGGGACTAAGATAAGCATTTTGACAGCAGTTCTCCAGGGGACTGTGCTACAAATCCAGTCTTATAAAAAGCATATCTTTCCCATAAATACAGTGAGTTGATCTTTGACAAAGGAGCAAAGGCAATACAATGGAGCACAGACAGTCTCTTCAACAAATGGTGCTGGAACAACTGGATATTCACGTGCAAAA